CGTCTGATTTGTGTCCATTTATTCTTTTACGTAGAGACTGTCCAGTTTGGCCAATGTACCACCCTATACCAGAAACCTACTGACCGCTGTACTTACCTACATGCCTCCAGCTTTCATCCAGACCACACCACATGATCCATTGTCTACAGCCAAGCTCTACGATACAAACTCATTTGCTCCAACTCCTCAGACAGAAACAAACACCTACAAGATCTCTATCAAGCATTCTTACAACTACAATACCCACCTGCTGAAGTGAAGAAACAGATTGACAGAGTGAATCAAAGTGAAGAGTACCCAGAAGTTACCTACTACAGGACAGGCCCAACAAAGAAAATAACAGAACGCCACTAGCCATCACCTTCAGCCCCCAACTAAAACCTCTCCAACACATTATCAAGGATCTACAACCTATCTTGAAGGACAACCTATCACTCTCACAGATCTTGGGAGACAGGCCAGTCCTTGCTTACAGACAGCCCCCCAACCTGAAGCAAATACTCACCAGCAACTACACACCACAAAACAGAACCACTAACCCAGGAATCTATCCTTGCAACAAAGCCCGTTGCCAACCTTGTCCACATATCTATTCAGGGGACACCATCATAGGGCCTAATCACATCAGCCACACTATCAGAGGCTTGTTCACCTGCGCATCTACCAATGTGATATATGTCATCATGTGCCAGCAATGCCCCTCTGCCATGTACATTGGTCAAACTGGACAGTCTCTACATAAAAGAATAAATGGACACAAATGAGACGTCAAGAATTATAACATTCAAAAATCAGTCAGAGAACACTTCAATCTCTTTGGTCACTTGCTTACAGACCTAAAAGTGGCAATTCTTCAACAAAAAAACTTCAGAAACAGACTCCAACGAGAGACTGCTGAATTGGAATTAATTTGCAAACCGGATAGGCTTGAATAAAGACTGGGAGTGGATGTGTCATTACACAAAGTAAAACTATTTCCCCTCCTACTGTTCTTGTAAAGTGATGAAAATGGCTCACCTTGACCATCACTACAAAAGGTTCCCTCCCCCCGCTCTCCTGCTGGTAATAGCTCACCTTTCCTGATCACTGTTGTTACAGTCTGTATGGTAACACCCATTGTTTCATGTTCTCTGTGTATATAAAATCTCCCCACTATATTTTCCACTGTATGCATCCGATGAAGTGAGCTGTAGCTCACGAAAGCTTATGCTCTAACAAATTTGTTAGTCGCTAAGGTGCCACAAGTACTCCTTTTCTTTTTAGTGTACAGTGTAATGATTTATTGGAAATTTAGGAAGTCTTTGACAGAGTTCCACAAGCCAGACTGTTGCATAATTTAAGAGCCACAAGAATCCAGCGTGGGACACAGGAATGGATAATTGTTTAAAGAGCTGTGAATAAATAGTACAGATGAAACGAGTTCGGTCCAAATGGCAACTTTTATAGTAGTGAAAAATAGCCTATATTCCACATTTCCCCAGACTGCTCTTCTAAAAGGTTGGCCTATCAGTTTCAATATAGTAACCACTCAGCACCAAGTCATTATCTGTCTATCCAAGGGACTCTACAAAAGGTCTTCTCTCAGATATACTGTGTACAATTTAATGTACATAAGATGTTAATTTATCACAGAGCCTGAGGTTCCTACAGTAAACTAACTCAAACTGCTGATGATGCACTCAATCAGAGTGAGTGATGAACACAAACACAGCAGCAAGTGAAGTTCAAAAGGATACAGATTTGTATGATCAATGAGCTGCCACATGGCAAATGAAATGTAGTGTTGACAAACATATATCAATACACATTGGGATAAGAAATAGAAATAATCAAACGAAGTATAAGATAAATATGAATGAACTAGCACACGAGGGCCTCATAAAGGAGCTTGAGATGCCAGTGGATGCTCTCTGAACAGAACACTAGACCTCCGAAGAACTGTGTTTACTATCCACATTTAATTTGAGAAGCCACTGATAACACAGAAAGGTATTCTAGGCTTGTAGCAATAAACCTTTCCAATAAATGAAATTCACTGATACAACACATTCATTCCAAGTACTCACATACGAAACATACGAAACAACATTTACAGATAAAATCCCACCCAAAATCTAAACCTATATTACAAGTTACTGTCCTCGGTGGTGACTGAATGCTGAGACTAACTCAACAAATCCAACTCCACAAGCTTATGCAATTCAGAAACATTATCAGAGAGAGTGATGCTGTCCAAGCTTCTCCACTGTCTGATATTCATAATGGCAAACTAATACCCTTTCAAGACAGAAAAAAGTATCACCACTTATGAATGAGGGTTGCTACCATTCAGTGCCCATGCATAGCCTCAACTCACACTGACGCTAGAGCACAACAACCTTGCCGGCATGAAAGGACATTCAGCATCAGGTTATGCCTCATCTCACTGAAAAGTGACCCCTCTAAGTATTTAGGAGCGGCATTGCTTTATGGATAATTCTTATCTGGTGAAAGCTCAAACGTGGGGGTCTTTAAGAAGTGTGGGGAAAATAACGGGATTCTCAGGACTTCCAAGGAGACAGAAAACTCCACTAGGGAAGAAAGTCGTTTTATTAAATGATGTTAGGCACTTAAATAACAGCTTTATTTTTCTAGCACCCCACAAGTTCACATATGTGGGCATTACAGTTTTTAATCTCAGTTATTCATCACATCCAATATAAATATCTTTGTGGGGTTTTTGCATATCGGGTGCTTTAACATGAAAATATTGAGAAGTTGACAAAATTAAGTCTCTATTATAAAAATGTGTTTGAAAATCTCACAAAATTAAAAACAGTGAACATCTTTTGAAGCTTTACAGAATAATATACTTTCATTCTATTGTTTCTTGATGACATTATAATCCAATGGCTTTTCATAAACATATCTGAAGAAACGGGCCAGTTACTCGTGATAGGTTCAAACAAACCAATGTTTGCTGTGAAAATTATTACTTCATACTGTAATTCTGCCTGCTTTCTATCCCTCACAAATGGTTTGCTGGATAGCAGGGTCATATAGATCTCTATGCTATGGCAGTTGCTTTAGTGTACATTCATTGTTCATATGTATCTAACAAAAAGGCCCAATCTTTTGTCTTTATCATCTTTTTTTCTAATTCATTTTAGCAAAATCAATTGCTTTTTTGATAAGTAAGATTTTTGTTGAAGTATTATGAACAAGAAAACACATACCTGGTGATGGTATGCAATTACGATAAGAAAAAAAAAGGGATAAGGAGAAAAGAAAGGAGCTAGCTTACTACTGCTTGATTTTGTTGCTGGTAACTCTGGCCCTTCCCTCTCCTTACCCCAGTGCTTGTTACCATTGTTCTTCTTTTATCTGTTCTTTACTTAAGGTATAATTCTGCTACCCATACAAACACTGAGTAATACCTTGATTTCAATGGCATTACATGCACAGTAAAGGGCTAATCAATTTGATTTATGTTGCATGGACTGTTGAGATACTAAAGCTTTTTACATTCTTCATCATTACTACATTGTTCTCCATCATGGATGCCAAGGTAACATTTTTTGACAATGCATCTCCAGGGTTTAAAACTTTTGTTCTGAAGAAGTTTGAGTGGAGAAAACATGGGCAGGTTTCAATGGGGAATATTTTCAATTACAAATTTTAAATGTCAAGAGTCTAGCACTTTAAATTTCTATATTAACAGCAAAAAATTTCTGGGTAAATTCCTGGCTCCTTTGGGACAATGACAGAAGTTCCAGTGACTTTAATAGGGTGAGGATTTCACCCTTTATGTGCACAAGTTTGTGCCTACAAACCCTTCCAGATGAAGGCCTACTGTCTGGGGTAGAAGATAAGGCCAGTGACCTGAAAAGAGCCTCTGGCTCCCGTGACTCAGTTACATTCCAAAGCTTGATTGATCAAAGTCCTGAAAACATTCGAGAAAAGTGATATTTCCTCACTGGGATTCTTCTCATTGTATATCACATTAAATACACATTTATATGACATTATCAGTGTATTTATTTAACTTTTGTTTTATATTTTATCTTTCAATCCATTTTGGTTAGAGGTAGAATTACTGTGTTAAAATATGACCTGGTCCCATATGTAGTTTATTTCAATTTCAAAATGAAAAGCCTGCTAAGAACAGATAAGATTGATTGCTCTTTCCATCTTAGCATAATTGTATTTCAGGTGAACATCAATTTACTTTAAAGGACATTTCTAAGTAGCAGACTGCATCATACATAATTCATCAATCACAGTTGCCTGTAACATGATTTACTTAAACAGATTTCTTATTACTTAAACAGAAATAAAGGGAGTTGCATTTTTTTATGTTTTGGTTTGTTTTAAAATGGTTTACAAAATATACATTTACTCTGAATTACTGCTGAAAAAGTTCATCTTTGGTAATCAGCACAGTGAATTTCTTTCTCTCTTTGAACAGAAGTATTATTTCTTTAAACCTCTTTTAAAAGGCAGAGGGAGTTTTCAAAATATAATTAAGGCAAAGAGCACTCCATGTTCATCAAAGGTAAAAGTAAAACTCCAGGGTTTTGATGGGGTGGGGGGAAGTATTTATCTGAAAAATATGATTAGCTTTGCAGCCACATATTTTCTAGTGAGATTGACATAGTTCATTTTTATTTTATATTAAAATTTAAATGTAATTGAAGCAAAGTGGCTTTTGCCTCAGTAAGCTCTTTCAGTGATGGATAAACAAGTGCTTACATATCTGAAAATGATTTCCACTTGGTGATATACACCAAATAAAAGTGAAACTGTGTGGCACTTGACACACTGAGAATTCTTTCATTTGCTGGAGTGATGGCTCTGATGTTATACAAACTAATGCTTCCCATCAAATTTAGCTTCAGGGACATGATGATGTCACAACTGTTCAGAACTTTAAAAAGAGAAATACTTGCTTAAAACAAACAAACAAAAAACAGCCAAAGGTTACAAATACACATAAAAAAGACAGAATGCTTCCTACTTACTTGCAAGCCCATCTGAAATACGGAGTGACCCATAAAACTAGCCAACATTCGAATTAAAGCTGCACCCTGTGGGAGATAACAGAGAACAGGAAGTTATTGGGTTGCTTTTTCCAAATCAGTGATATAAATTAATAGGAAATATGCAATTTCATCTATTATTATCCTATTTTTTAAAAAAATCTTTCTTTAATGATTATGTTTAAATGTGCAAGAAAAGTGTTACCAAGTACGTGATCAATAGAATCTTAAAAATTTCCCAACACACCCACCACACGTACACACACACATTAATATTACACACCTGCTGGTTGGTTGGAAGGAAGGAAGGAAGGAAGGAAGGAAGGAGAGGGAAGATCATGCAACTGCCAGACAGAGGAAAACATGATTTGGAAGGGGATTGTTACTATTAATTACCCATATGCATATAGCAAACGAGGCTGAATAGTATAAAGCACATCATTTCTGCAGATGGAGCAGTATCTACTTACACATCTCAAGTGTAGACATGCAAATGTACATTCTGCTGTCCATTACACCCATGCAATCATGTGAAGTCTCACAGCCTCATAGACTTTAAGGCCAGAAGGGACCATTGTCAAGGAGTAATGGTCTCAAGTTTCAGTGGGGGAGGTTTAGGTTGGATATTAGGAAAAACTTTTTCACTAGGAGGGTGGTGAAGCACTGGAATGGTGAAGCACTTTTCACTAGGAAGGTGGTGGGCTCTCCTTCCTGAGAGGTTTTTAAGGTCAGGCTTGACAAAGCCCTGGCTGGGATGATTTAGTTGGAAATTGGTCCTGCTTTGAGCAGGGGGTTGGACTAGATGACCTCCTGAAGTCCCTTCCAACCCTGATATTCTATGATTCTATGATTATCTAGTCTGACCTTCTGCACATTGTAGGCCACATAACTTCATCTACCCCCTCCTCTAATAGAACTGTAACTTTTGGCTGACTTATTAAAGTTCTCAAATCATGATTTAAACACTTCAAAAGTTACAGAGAATCCATTATTTACTCTAGTTTAAGCCAGCAAGTGACCCAGGCCTCATGCTGCAAAGGAAGGTGAAAAACCCCTAAGGTCTCTGCCAATCTGACCTGGAGGAAAATTCCTTCCTGATCCCAACTATGGCAACCAGTTGAACCCTGAGCATGTCAGCGAGACTCACCAGACAGACACTTGGGAAACAATTTTCTGTAGTAAATAAGAGCCCTCCCCATCGCTGCCCATTATGGATTTTGCTACTAGCAGTTGCAGATGGACCACATGCCATTGCAGGCAGTCTCATCATACCATCCCCTCCATTAACTTATTAAAGTCAGGCTTGAAGCTAGTTAGGTTTTTTGCCCCCACTGCTCCCATTGGGAGGCTGTTCCAGAACTTCACTACTCCAGTGATTAGAAACCTTCATCTAATTTTAATTTGTTCTTGTGTCAACATTGGCGCCTATCTTAAATAATTCCTGTCCCTCCTCGATAGTTATCCTTCTGATGTATATAGAGCAATCATATCTCCCCTCAGCCTTCTTTTGGTTAGGCTAAACAAGCCAAACACCTTGAGTATCCTCTCATAAGGTAGGTTTTCCATTCCTCTGATCATCCTAGTAGCCCTTCTCTGCACCTGTTCCAATTTGAATTCATCTTTCTTAAACACAGGAGACCATAATTGTGCACAGTATTCCAGAAAAATCCAAACAAATGCCACAAGGATTTTGAACCTCCTTTTTGCAGACCTAGAAGACTAGACCACAATTACTGCATATTCTTCCTCTTCACTGATGCCTTGTTTCCAGCAGAAACACCTTTGCATTTATTATCTGATTGATTTGGCTATAGTATCCCATTTTGCTGTTCAATTTCAGGAGAACCTTCAGCCTCTCAACGCTGCAACTCAACATACTGTATATAGTGCTGATCATTGTACAGGGAGAATACTCTTGACTTGGAGAGAGTGCACCAGAAGGTAGTTCAAAAATGATATTAGATTTCATCAAACAAGGTTACAAAGGAAGGCTCAGGAAGTTGGACTAGTTCTCGCTCAAAAAGAGAAAAAAATCATCGATTCATGGATGTGCAGAGTTGTGCATCTAGTCTGACCTCCTGCTTAATACAGGCCATAGAACCCGCACCCAGTAATTTCAGCCTCAAGCCCACAGCTTCCACAGCTTTTAAAAAGCCTTGATTTAAAGACTTTCAAGAATCCACCACAACCAGGGTGAGTATATATCAATGATTTAAAAAATACAGATTGTGGGAATTAAAAAGAATGAGTTGATTAAGTAACTGAAGGCAGAAAAAGTAGAAATGAATATAAGAGATACCTGAAATTGTTTCTAAGAAGTGGTGGATGGTCAATGAATTAAAAACCAACAGTTGTATTAGGTTACATTTCTTATTAATTATTATTATTATTATTTGTTTTATTATAGTGCCCAACCTCAAGTAGGGGCCCACTCAGGTAGGGGCCCACTATAGTGCCCAACCTCAGGTAGGGGCCCACAAACACACAATAGAGAGACAGTCCCAGCCCTGAAGAGTTTACACTCTAAACAGACAAGACAAGAGGGTGGGAGGAAGGAAGCATTATTATCCCCATTTTACAGATGGCAACTGATCCACCAAAAGAATAAGTAACTCAGACGAGGTCACACAGAGAATCGGTAGCAGAGCCAGGAATGGATCCCTGATCTTCATCCAGCCCCTTAACCACAAGGCCATGCTTCCTCTTGTTACATGTCCTTCCCCTACTCTAGATAAGATTCCAGGATTGTCACACTCTCTGTGTGTCACTCTGAAGCCTACTGCATCTGCAGAGTCAGTGAGAAGCAATGGGAAAAGCTACAGGCATGGTTGAGAGCTCTTTTTGTTCAGAATATCACCAGGTTCCATCATCACTGGGATTTACAGTCTGTTGCCATCCAATTTTTAAGTTCTCAGCGATTTTCGTTTTATGAATTACACCCGTGTGGTGTTCAGCTACAAGAAGTCATGTATCTATGCCACACCTAGAGTCCTAGACCATTGTGATACCACAGGTAACTCAGCCAATCTCCACTCTGACTCTAAAGCTAATGGTGGGGGAAGGGAGGATATGAGGGGGGGAGAGAAGGGGGTACACAGAGAACCCCCAGAGTAGGGGGAAAATGGGGGACCCTGTTATGGTGGGAAAGGAAGAATGAGAGGCACGGCAGCAAAGTGGGGGCACCAGGGCCCCTGGCATGGAGGGGAGAATGAGGAATAATGCTATGAGGAGAGAGGGAAATGGAGGATACACAAAGCCCTTTGCATGATGGGGAAGTGAGAATGGAGCCATGGGGGGAAGGGAGAAATGAGGGGACACACTGAACCCCTGGCATGGGGGAGGAGAATGGGGACCAATGGTATAGGGGGAGAGGGACATGGGGACATGGCATGTAGCAGAAAAGGAATTGAGGACACACACAGAACCCCTGGCATGGGGGAGAGGGGTTGCAAAGAGTCTCTGAATTAGAGGGGTTATGGGAGAGTGGCACTGTCATAAATATAAAGGGAAGGATAAACCCCTTTGAAATCCCTCCTGGCCAGGGGAAAGCTCCTCTCACCTGTAAAGGGTTAAGAAGCTAAAGGTAACCTCGCTGGCACCTGACCAAAATGACCAATGAGGAGACAAGATACTTTCAAAAGCTGGGAGGAGGGAGACAAACAAAGGGTTTGTGTCTGTCTGTATGCTGCTCTTGCCAGAGACAGAACAGGAATGGAGTCTTAGAACTTTTAGTAAGTAATCTAGCTAGGTATGTGTTAGATTATGATTCCTTTAAATGGCTGAGAAAAGCATTGTGCTGAATAGAATAACTATTTCTGTCTGTGCATCTTTTTTGTAACTTAAGGTTTTGCCTAGAGGGGTTCTCTATGTTTTTGAATCTAATTACCCTGTAAGATATCTACCATCCTGATTTTACAGGGGGGATTTCTTTATTCCTATTTACTTCTATTTTTTATTAAAAGTCTTCTTGTAAAAACTGAATGCTTTTTCATTGTTCTCAGATCCAAGGGTTTGGGTCTGTGGTCACCTATGCAAATTGGTGAGGCTTTTTATCCAACATTTCCCAGGAAAGGGGGGGTGCAAGTGTTGGGAGGATTGTTCATTGTTCTTAAGATCCAAGGGTCTGGGTCTGTAGTCACCTAGGCAAATTGGTGAGGCTTTTTTACCAAACCTTGTCCAGGAAGTGGGGTGCAAGGTTTTGGGAAGTATTTTGGGGGGAAAGACGCGTCCAAACAGCTCTTCCCCAGTAACCAGTATTAGTTTGGTGGTGGTAGCGGCCATTCCAAGGATAACGGGTGTAATATTTTGTACCTTGGGGAAGTTTTGACCTAAGCTGGTAAAGATAAGCTTAGGGGGTTTTTTCATGCAGGTCCCCACATCTGTACCCTAGAGTTCAGAGTGGGGGAGGAACCTTGACAGGCACATAGGAAGCTTTTGGGGTGGGGGAATGGAGGGATGAAAGGAGCCCCTGGTTTGTGCAATGCACAATGCCCACAGGAGCAAAAAAATGTGCAGACCCTCTAGTTATCTCAACAGCATAGTGTCACTGAGTGTATAATTTTCAGTTCCCCTCCTTCCAGCAAGCAATGAACTGGACAGTAGATCTACACAGTTTTGTACCTTCTGCAAACTCCTGTAATCCAGACCTAGACCTCCCTGCAAGTCCGTAAATCACAGACACAGATGATTGAATCAGTGCTACTGGACAGGAATCTCTTAGGAACCTGCTAGCATTACCCTTTGAATGACCTGACAGACTCACAGGCACTGTGCTCCACCATATCACTCCCAGAGCTGAGTATGCCACTGCTGCAGCTCTGCCAACCTTTGCCCATTTAAGGAATGACATATGGAGTCTAGAGAGGTAAACTCGACTCTCTTTGCAGGGCAAAATGGCCATTTATTGATTATTTAAGTGCTTTACTCCAGGCAGTGCATGACTTGGTTTCTTGTCAAGCTGTAAAACGAATTGGTTTAACAGGTCGAGTGGGAAAAAAATCCTTTCTATTCATAAAAATGTATCTATTCTCTAGACAGTATATAACTTG